GGTCTCTTCTTGTTCCAAATGAATTTTTAGATGGTTTGGTCCTCCTCAGTGCTGGGGGGGAGGGGCTCTCTGCTGCTCCGAGCTTGGGGGCTGTGGTAAGGTGGCCTGAGAGGCTCACCTCCTCAGCGCTGGAGGGCTCTGCTCCTCTGCACTCAGGGGCCAGTGTCAGATTGTTTTGAATTCTTAAAGACACAGAGCCCAGTGGTGAAGTAGGCAGGATCGGCAGTGTGTGTCCCATGGCCCTTGATGGGTCCCGTAGAGAGAAGACAAGGTCTGGGATGGAGACCCATTGAGCTTGGGGGCATCCCCTATAAAACTTAAATTGCACCACCAGACATCTGTGGCAAAGGTGGCAGCACCAGCGCCTTTTTTGCCTTAGACCTCTCCATAACCTTCAGCCCACTATGACTCTTTAAGGACCGGAGTGGAGCCCCCACTGGCTCCATCTAACTACTTGACAAACAGTATCCTTCTTATTTATTCCAATAATAAAAGACTTTGGTCATTATTTATTAAGGCAGTAGAGATAGAACCCTATCCCTCAGCATTTAAGAAAAACACCTTGGAAAGTTTCAAGTACAAAGATAGGGTCTATTATCTATTGATTCAAATACTCCAGGTCTACTTCCACATACTCACAATCAACTGGGTTGACCTTCATGGTCTTTATTTTGTTCCATTCAGGCTCTCAGAGACATGTTTCTAAATTTCCTGAATTTCTGTTAGAAGAAGCAGGGAGGGGATCTATTCAGATTTATAAGGGGAGAGCAGAGAAGGCCCACATGTTCCTTGAAATTGGAGACCATAGCTCTTATCTATAAAGGTGAGATTTCCTGGTCTCCATGGGGACAGTTGGGAATCATGGCATGAATTGGGATGGTGCCCTGAGGTTTTAGGCAATGGGTCCCTGAAGCAAGTGACTCATTAAGGTCAGCTAGAGATAAAAGGCCATCTAGGGGAAAAGCCCAAGGGAGACTTTGATCATGGTGAGCACGAATAGGGGTAAGCTGGGGTAGATGGCTACCCATGTAGAAGATCAAGTTATTGATAGCTAGTCCCACAAAATGATGAGAAAACTTAAGGTAGCTGTGGGAAGAACAGATGTGTGGAAGCAAAAGAGACATATTAAACTTTAGGTCATACACATGGAACCTTCATGGTTCAGTTTTCTTGCACCTGGTAGAGTCTAAAATGACCCGTTCCATGACTGGGTTAGTGACAGGTGTCCTGACAGCCCTTAACTGTCTGATTCATGCTCACAATGAGAAGAAAAAAATTTGAAAGAGAAGAGAGAAAAAGAAAAAAGCCTTCCCCAAAGGGGTCTTACCTCCTGGCTGGGCTCAAGTCTAGCACAATTACAATCAGAATGGATACTGTCAAAACATCAGAAGAAATAAATCAAAGAATATTTTTTTAAAATGTAGTAAAAATGAAAAGAAAAAAGTTCAAAGAATGTAACAAAAAGATATCATGCACACAAACAAATGAAGACAAAATAAATAGCAGTTGTGCTTAAACCGATCTTTAAAAAGCTAAAGTCAGACTGTATTTCAAAATTCCTATAAGAGGCCTAGTTAAAATAAAGGAAAATATAATACAATGGAAAAAAATTCTTAAAGGATAACAAAACAAAAATATTCTATAATGCAAAGATGGAGGAATATAGCATCTGAAGTTTAATAGCCCATAAAACTCCATTAGAATTCAAGAGAAAGAATCTAAATGACCCCCAAAAAGTAATTTTTTTTAACAGAGGATATTTTTCAATCCAAAGATATAGCACTCTAAAATTTACCCTTTAACATAGAATTACTATGTATATGACATTAAAGCTATTAGAAAATTAAAGAGAAACTAATGAAAACACAGGAACCAGAGGAGACTCTTCATACATCTCAAATTTTCATCAAGTAGACCAAAATCATATAGTGACTGTAAGAGCTTAAAGAACTTTTAACAGGATGGATTTGGTGAATCCGTAAACATGTACCACAAGTTCTAAGCCCTGCTTGTATCACAGGGATAGGATACTTGTACTCTGCTCTCCAGGATATTTTAATTTTCATTGCCATATCTCTAATAATTATCATAGAATTTCTCACCTAGATGTCAATTATGTGATATTAGTCAATTATCACATAAAATCGACATTCTCTTCTTTGCCTGAGCTTTCATTTTGAAAAGTATGACCTCAACTACCAAGTTCACAAGCATCCATCCTTTTCCCTCTATGCACAGGAGGAAGCATGTAGCTGCTACTGGAAATTTTCTTTCAGCCAGGTAGATTAGCACAACATTGGTGCAACAGGAGGGCAGAGGTTTATAACCAGGAAAAAAAGAATGTAGCAATGTTTTGCTATGCAAACACTTCCTGAAACTTGAACTGCTCTGGAATTTTATGGTGCATTAGTGAATTAATCCTTTGTATTATGTAAGTAAACTTGGTTGGTTTTTTATTATCTATACTTCTTAGGCATCTTAAAATACAAACCTCGAGGTATGTATTTTCTTAAAAACACAATGTTTAGTGGAAAAACAGAAGAATATTTCTCTTCTATTTTTGTATATCATTAAAGATGACAAATTTCCATCAAAATTCCCTTGTTTTAAATATATCTGAAATACAGCACAGCCCTATAAATTTTAATAAATAATACGTTTCAAATCAGGTCCTGATTTTTAATTACTTCCATAGGCCATCTGACTTACAAATCCCCCACTTTTCATTAGACTTTTACAAATACACCACTTTTCATACAATTGTGTTCCAGAAATTTTATCACATTAAAATTACAATGTGGTTTATTGGACATTAAAACTTTGGAGCCAAAAGTGAATAATGTAGTATAGTGTATCACCGTAGTGTTATGTTTCATAAAGGTCTCAAAGTAGCTTATGTTAATTTCATGCTAATATATAAAATCAAGTTTCAAAGTCTTGAGATTAATTTCACAATATATATGTGTTTTGATAATTAAATTATCATCAATGACCTATTATTGATATTTAAAGAAGCTTCATAACCACGCCATTGTTCATCCCTTCACTACATTTGCCATATGTTTTGTGGTAGTCAGGGTTTGCAAGGGGATAAATTTAATACAGGATACGTAATTCATAGGATTATTGTATAATATTCACCTGAAAGTCAAGTGCAGAAGAGTGCAAGAGACTTGTCCGTACACTGGAGATCTGAAGAATCCAGCTGAGGGTCTGGGTCCCACAGCAATGTCCTCTTGAGTCTGCATCAGAAAGCCGAGGAGTCTTTGAGGGAAGACTGAGGGTCTGCCCGGGAAAGCCCAGAGGCTGGTGGTGAAGGCCAAAGAGTCTGGAGATGACTGAGAGCCAGGAGATGACACCCAGGATAGAGCTCCTCTGAGGGGAACAGCAGCCAAAGCTCAGCAGCCTCTGCTCTTCCAGAGGGTAGGAAGGGGGCAGGAGATGAGATGCTTTCTGGGGTCTCTGGCAGCCCCCATAGGTGAACCATAGCAGAAGCACCATCATTCTGGAGTAAGGACCTTCCAAGGAGAATCAGCAGCAAATCCTCCCCTCCTGTTCTCCTTTGATTTCTGTTCTGATGACAATCCTCAGGTGGGGTCTCCATGGCCAGAACCATGCTGACTCAGTTCAGCTGGGCATTCCCACTTAAACTGACCATCAGTTAATCTACCACATGGTTTTACCAGCCCTTGACATTCTTGGGCTTTTTAGTTGTGTTTAAAAAAAAAAATGTTTCTGCAATAATATATTAGCATTAATGAAAACAGGATAATTACTTCTTAGAAGATTTAGTCAAAATGTTACTGCGTTTAAAAAATTAATATGGTTGTCCTATAGCTGTAAGTTTAATTTGTGGATCAAGGAGAAAAGAAACGAGTTCTCATACAGAAATAGGAATCGTACAATTCTGTATTTCCAGAAAAATGAGACCTATTTAATCTTTTTCTGATTATAGAAATAAGAAGCAGCTATGTAAATTTCACTAGATCACTGTCAGTGAAGCAGGCTGGAACTTTGAGGCTTCCAGCACATTAATATTTCTAATAAGGAGGGTACTTGTCTCTAAATACAACCTTTCCTGAGAAACCCTAACTCCATAACTTGTCTTAGTTTGAGTTCATCCTAGAAGTGGAGCCCGGGACAAGGTTGTAGGTGCTGGTGGTTTATTTGAAAGATGATCCTATGGAGTAAAACTGAGGGTATAAAGAAAGGGATAATAAGTACAGTATTTAAACCATTAAAAGCATTCACAGGAGCTGTTGAACAGTCTGCTGGGTCCTATGTGCAAACCTCTGAGGAGACCCAGAATTGACCTCACAAACGGATTCAGGGTCATTCGCCCACCGATTCTCATCTTCTGCTGGTTCAGGATTTGCACCCAGTGTACAATGTCTCTTTGAACTTCGATGTTGCATTTGCTTGGTTTAGAAAAACAGAGAGACGCCAAAGATGCACTCAATGCTGGAGCCTGAGGCGCCAGGGGAACTGTCCATCGCGTGAGTGCTGAAACAAAAGAGACCAGACCTGTGGCAGTTTGCATTGCAAACATAGGCCATACAATTCCCACTAAAAAAGTATAGGAAAACAGTAACACAACCCACTTAATGAATTTTTCCAATTAATAAAAGAATTTACTGAAGGTTGTAAGAAATATTTCAAGAAACTGGGAAAGATAGATTTGCTGGGGGAAATATAGAATATATAAAATATATTATAAAATATATATATTTATATATACGCATATTTGCTGTGACCCTCAGCTGTGATCAGAGATAAACTTCAGGTCTCTCAAACAATCTTCTCAACAACCTTTTAGCAGAACTTCTGGTAACTTCAAGTTGTTACATCCATATACTTTATTCTATATACCTTATTAGGAAAAACAATATGGAGTTCAAATTGCCCTAATGGTAACTGAACAAATGTTGAGCTGCTTTCTGGAGTAATACAATGAGGGATTTTTACAGTCCAATTGAAAAGAAAGAAAAGTTTCAGTTTCACAAGTAAAAAGTCTATGGCCAGTTCACAGAAACAACTATCTGTGCACCCTTAAGTTACTCTCTTTGGGTTGTTTTTTTTTTTGTCCATGATTTGATTAAGTGGTTTCAGGATTATTCCACCTCAAATATTCACTGAACTGATGGCCAAATTTCAAAATTAAGAGCACCACAGAAAAAGCATTATTAAGAAAGGTGAGCTGTGAAAAATGCCTGTATTTCCAGCACTCAGGAGGCTGAAACAGAAGGGTCACTGTGAATTTGGGGCCAGTTTAGGCTATATAGTGAGTTTACATCCAGTCTGAACTTCATAGTGAGATCCTATCTCAACAAATCAGAGAGACAGACAGACAGACAGACGGGATTGAAGTGGCAGGAATGGAGTTAATTATCAGTTTCAGTTAGTATCAGTTTATGCTGTGTAAAAAACTATCCAAAAATCTAGCATCTCAAAACAAAAGGCATGTATTATTTGCCATGATTTTGTTCACTGGCTGGATGTATTTTCTGATCTGGGTTAACTTACATGGAACCATGTAATAGAGGTTAAAGGTCAGCAAAATTTTCCTGTAAAAGACTATTAATTTCTTTTGTGGCAATTCAACTCTGCTGTTGTGACACAACGGCAGCAATAGAAAATACATAAACTAGGAAGTGTAGTTGTGAAGCCTTATTTTTACAAGCAGGTGGTGGGCTGAATTCAACCCTCAGGCTATGGTTTGTCAACCTGTGGTCTAGCATGGTCTAATGTTCATGGCGCCTATTTGGATCAGTATCACCAAGCTGCTTCAATTCCTTTCCACATGTATAGTCTCAGATCCTCCATCAGCATAGCCTATGTTCATTCCCATGGTGTACTTGGGGCTCCAAATGCAGCGAGACGGCAAGACCCATCACACAGCATTTTTCAATCTTAATGCTTGTGACATATTTGCCCCATTGCCCAGTGTTATGTGGGCAAGTTCTGAGTCAAAAACAATCAACAAATAAGCCCTACCCATTGACAAGAGGAGTTGGAAAAGTCAAAATATAAGGCAGTATGCCTATAGTCAGTGATGGAAGAGATATGGAGCCATTTTGTAATATGCCACGGGCAACCTGTAAAAATACCTCTGCAGTAAATCCAAACTTCTAATCATTTGGATTTACCTAAGCCTGAGCCTATTAGAAAGATAAGGATTTGAGATGGCAGGAAATATATCTTATTTCTCCTTAACAAATGATTTTAATGTTGTGATTATTTAAAGTTCTACACAGAAAGAAATATTATCACCTGGGGAATTCCAAAGTTTTGCTGACCATGTAAACTGTAATTTGTAAGGTTTGTAAAGATTAGACTACTGAAGAGTGGATTAAAAACATCTTTTTAAATTGGATGTTTTTTATCCATCTTTATATGACAAGAGATGTCTGTGGCCTACAGCAGCGGTAAGAGTACATTTATCACTTGAGGCCAAATATACACACTTCACTCCATCATTTTCACTGTAGTGTGAAATCTGTCCTCCAAGCATCTGAAGCCTGCAATGATAAAAGAAGCAGCAATCACTACAGAAATTCACTAAGGTGTTTGTTTGTTTGTTTGTTTGTTAACAAAAATTATCTGATACAACGTCCTAAGGAAATGGAAAAGCATTCCTGGGAAGTCAGAGGGGAAATTCCTCTGAAACATTTTGACAAAACATAGAAAAAAAAGTGAAAATATTTAATTTTTTGGCATGATATGTGGATTAAAATGGCATCTGTTGTTGTGCCTGTACTAAGGCTTACTTTTTGTAGTTGCATTTATATTAACGCGGATCACCAATTGACAGCAATCAAGAAATACAAAGATATACAACATAGAAAGGCATTTGAAACAAAGCTGAAAGCTTTCCCTACATGAGAGAGATGTGTTCTGATTTTATTTGTATTCTGAACATTAGCCTTGAAGCAGCAAAACTGTCCCCTACCTATCTGCTAATTCTCAGCAAGGGAAAAATAATCTTTCGGGTAACACAATTAGAGAAGAAGCAATCAACATTCCTAAGCATGAAAAGAGAAATGTAAATTGTTTTATAGATGATCTGATTGCTTCGAATAGTGATTCTTAAAGTGTGGCCCAGACCAGAGCATCACTATCCTCTGGGAACTTATTAGAAATGCAGAGTATCTGCCCCATTCCTCATTCAATGAATCATACACTCGAGAGGTGAGCCCAAAAAAATCTGCTTCAACAAGGGGGTTCTGATCCATTGGAAAAATGGAGAACCATGGTATTGGAAATGACAGAATATGATTATTCCACTGAGAAGGACATACTTGAAATCAATTATGTCTGATAATTTTAAACTACCTGTTTCAGCAATCTTCATAGACCATTAGATATTCAATCAGGAATTTTTAGTTAGAGGAACATAACTTGACTATTGAAAAGAGGCTGGACTGGCAAATCACCATGAATTAAATGTGTTCTCTCATTTTTTTCTTCACATTAGACAGGATAATTGTCATTTAGGAAGAATTAGCTAAATAAGTAAAGTTAGGATATTGAAGTGAGATAAAATTTTATTTCATTTTTTTCAATAGTTTTAGAGAGGTATGTACTTTCTGTGACTCCATATGATTAATCTGGATAAGAAGACTTAAATAATTATGTCATTCTACCTTTCAAAACAAGAAATCACACAATAGAAGTCTAACAAGCAAGCACATGCTCATGTAACACACACACACATTTATTTTTTCAAAGAAAAAGTAGAAAGTAGACATTTGAAATGTTGGTAAGAAAGACATAGAAGTTAAAATAGATGAAAATGCAAATTAGCCAAATTTCATACAAAATGGTGGCTGGGGCACAAAAAATCAGCTCTGCCTTTGTCCTGTCCACCTCAACTCCAGGGGAGCTAAGCTCACTGGAGCAGCTGGACAAAGAGCGGATTGGAAAGCCAGTGGAAGATTTGTTGACACATTCTAAGTCCAGGAAGAATAATAATGAATTGCTTTTGAATGAGAATGAAAATTTCTTTGTAATGGTAGAACTATGGAAAATTCCAGAAAAGGAACTGAGGGTCAGATATTCCTTGCCTCATAGTATTTAATTAGATTTGTCAGAAATCTGTTTATTTACCAAGGATGAACTCCAGTCAACTGAACAAACAGAATGTTTCCATAGAAAAGTTTTGCACAAGCATGGAAATAAAACAATCTCTTGAATTATCCCCTTTTGAACTTTAAAAATGGAATATACAACCTATGGAGTCAAGATCCACCTCCTGGGTAGTTTTGACTTCTTCCTTACTGATGAAAGAATTAGGTGGTTTTTATCCCTATACACTGGAAGACATATCTATCAAAGAAAGAAAGTTCCAGTATCTGTCAATGCTCTGGCCAAGAATTTATTGAAAGAGATCAACAACTCCCTAGGCAGGTCTGTCTTAAACATCTCCAAAAGTAGTTCTTGCATTGCTATATGTATTGTCACAGTGGAATACAGATTCAAAACATCATTGAAAACATCGTTGCTGCAGTGGAAAGTCATTCAGAAAAATTGCCAAGAAGTAGCCAAATGTGAAACTCCTATTCATGAAAACTGAGAAGTAAGTTTCCCTTCCTGTCTTTTCCTCATTTATCACTTGTTGGGCTGAAACTGAAGCAGGACTTAAAGAAAAACAAGTTCTTCTCAGCCTTGGGCAGTTCCCCTGCCTTGGGTCATCCCCCTCTCCCCTGTCGCTATGCCTCTGATAATATTAACAACTATGTCCTGTAAACAAAGTTGATGATACACTGCTATTATGGGATTCATAGGGCTCTGTCTTCTTACAAGCCTAAATTACAAAACTGTCTGCCCTTGTCCAGTTCTCGTAAACTCACTTGCTACATCACTAGAAAGACCCCCGCCACATCCCCTTATATCGAATGTATAAAAGCTAGAACTTTTCTTTGTTCAGTGGTCTTTCTTTGGACAGGAGTCCATTGAGCCTGTGTTTACCTAAAACCTGAAATAAAGTCCTCCTGACTGCCTCTTGAAATTCCACAACAAAACTAACAAAATGTGCACACATAAACTGAAAGAAAAAGAGACTAAGAAAAGAGAGAAAGGAAAAATGTTGTTAAAAACACAAGTTGAAGAAGGAAAGCAAAAAGTTAAAGCAAGAAGCTAAGAAGGCCGTGTCAGTTCTCACGAAAGGTAGCATGGTACCTAAAACCAAAAGTGCTTCAGGAAAGAGCCATGAGTCCTGAAAGAAAAACACTGGCAAAGCAAAAACCTAATCTAAAGTGATAAATGAATCTGATGATGAAATTCCACAACTGGTACCAATAGATGAGACTCTGGTGAAAGAAAATGTTAAGTGGTAAAAACGTGACCCGGGGAAGAAGTCTCCAAAAAAGCATCCCAATCCCAACACATCTCAGGGCACAAGAGAAAGGCCCTGCCGGCTTGTGAGACCCCAGCTGCAGGTCCAGCGAAGCCAAAATGGGACAAAAGAAGAAAGAAAGAGAGTCCTCGCTCTGGAAGAAAAATCT